AACAAACAAAGAGAGACAGGGAGACTATTTATCTGATCTTACACAGATTATAAGAACATTTAGGCTGTCATACAGAGCTGCCTAGATATATATTGTCACAAAAATATCAGAGCGCAATTGCGAAAAAAAAAAAGAAAAAAAAAGGAAGAAAAACAGGAAAAAATGAATTTATTTGTTTATCTTCTTCCTTATAACTCCCCCTGTTCAGAACCTCTTGCGTACTACAAGGCCGCATACATATATCGTCACACCGTGTATCAGAGCGCAAAGGCGAAAAAAGACAAAACAAAAAACGAAAGAAGGAAGGAAAGCTCCGCCTGCTCGTCACCTCTTACGTACAAGGCCGGCCAAATACAAATGTATATTGTCACATGAATACATGACAATATGTGTTATGTACGTAGTCTTGGCTGAAGACTACGTACATAATGGGCCACCAACATTTGTGTTGTTATTCGGAAGACGACAGGACAGGAGTATACGAGTTAGATCAATCACAAACAAAGGAAGTGGTGTGAATATGGAAGGGGTGGGGACCACAAAGGAAGTGGTGTGAATATGGAAGGGGTGGGGACAGCCAAGGACCTAAGAAGGCAGGAGGGAGATACCAGAGCGTAGGTGACCAGATGAACATTCAGTCCAGAAGGTTCATGATGTTGCTGGTTTTGAGGTTGACGTGTGCCCGCACAAGATGCGAGAAGAAAGGAGGAGGAGGTTGGGCGGAAAAGGAGAGGGGACAACTCCGGCGGGGGACGACGAGAGAGAATATAATAGAGAGCACAGGAGGAGAGATGGCCGATAAACTACTAAGTAATATGAGACCGACTGCAGGGGCGGCGAGTAGGAGAGAGAAAGGGAGAGGACAGGAGGAGAGCGAGAGAGACAGGTGAAGGGGACGGTGTGTGTGGCGGGAGAGGCAAGAGCGCGGGAAGTAAAGACGTAGACGAACGCGCGGGAAAGGCAGTGATGAAGGCTCCAGAGAAAGTGCCAAGGACTGCAGGCAGCTGCGGAACTTGTCGCGATTCTCCGCCGGATCCGTGTCGACTGCTCTCCGACTGAGCGCACGCGCGCGCGGGGGAAGGATAACTACCACGTCTGGCCCGAGCGAGGGCGCACGTGCACACCCCTCCACGCACCCGCATGAACAAACCCAGCCAGGCCAAGCCAAGCCAAGACAAGGAGAGAGAAAGCAACTGATAGAGGAGGATTTGCGAAGGGGAGAAGTACGTGCGGCTTCCAAAGAGCGCGGCGACGGCGGGGCGAGATCATACCTTTATTACCTTCGCTCGCGCGTCGGCTATGGCCGCTGGCGGCGCGTCAGACGTACGTACGTATCCTGTGTGCCGTTCCTCTGCGCCTCTTCCCTCTCCGCTAATCTCCTCCTGACAAACTACAGTCTTTTTGCCCAAACCATGCATAAACCGAGAGGAGTGCCAGGCTGTTTTGATTCCTGCCGAAGAACCAACGACCGATGACGGTGGCAACCTGGTACGACCCCGCCGCTGTACGGTACAGGCAACGTCGGCAAAAGAGTCCGAAATCCGCTGCATGACATGACAAAGGGCAAGTTACGGATGGATGCATTGGATGGACGGTCCTTCAGGACGTCCGTTGAAATTGGAACGATACAAGAGGAGTAGCATGGCCCCTGCTCAAGGATGATACCGATAAATCGAGTTATGGAAGGGCAAAAATGTCCCTCTAAAGAGCCACTCGGTAGAACAATCTCCCCAAATTGTTGCCCCTGTTCGCAGCCCTAAGGCTGCAGTATTTGCAGCCCGTAGGAGATGCCTTTACACACCCGAGGCATTTTGGTTATACTGGGTCGTTGGTTTAGGCCCAAATTGGTCATTGTAAGGGCATACTCACAAGGCGATGCGGATTTGGGAAGGGCCGATTTGAGGTTTTGGGCATGGTTCACGTCACACTGCTGTACCTTTTCAGATGGGACGAGGTCACGGCCGTCTGGAGAAATGGGGATTTAGTACTTGGTTGGTCACACGGCGCCATCCACCAATTGTGCAAGAGCTTTTGTGAACGATTTTTTGCCAATTTTTGAAGAAAATGCAAAAAAAAAAAAGGGAATTTGCGGTCCGTAAAATCCCTTGCCCCGCGGCTTTCCAGGCCGCTGACAAATGGGCACTGGAATAGTACATTTGCGGATTTGGTAGATCCGTGTGACCGGCCTTTTCCCCTTTTTGGGTTGGGATAATACGTCCCCCGTGTGAGTATGCCCTAAGGCTGTTTGAATTGCAGGCAGGGGCACTTTGGGGGGCGGGCCGTTCTTGCAGCTGCAGGACAGGTAGTTGACCGCAGTCCTAAGAAAAATTCAAACGACGGATCACGGGACAAGTCTTGGAAGTGGATAAACTATTAGTTGCAGGGGCATTGGGAACGAAGCCCTAAGGGGTGATGCTTTTTATGTTCATAAGGGGAGAGAAAAAGACAAACTGACACTGCAAAAAAGAGAAAAAAAAAAAAAGTATGTGTCTTTACTACATGGACTACCCTTGATGCCATCATCCGCCACATCCTCTCCAAGCATGTCCAACATGCAGCATTGGGCATACACCAGCGACAACTGCAATGGGATTTTTCTCACCTTAAACATATAATCAACAGACGGAACAGCCTGAGGTGAAAATTAAACTATCACATAAAACACCTGCAACACGTTGATGGTCATTATCAGCATGACAAGTTGTTGCAGACCAAATTTTACAACAATTAAAAACTCCTGCCCTGCATTATCCCTAGTCGTCGCTGCTTTAATTTTGGATTCATGCATCTGGGTAAACACAGGGGCCGTTGCGATTAAAATTTATAATACACGCATATATACACATAGACAGACACACATACGCATACGCACTTAAACCACTACATAATTTTTTTGTACGTATAAGTACAACCACCATGATCTTTGATTATTTTAACATAATAAAACTGGTTGATTTTTGAAACTGCGATGTGATCAACTATGGCTATTTATTCTGCCTCATGTTGCTATCTGCTCATTTAGATGGAAAATTAGTTGTTGTTGTGACAATCTACAACACATGCACAAATAAAAGTTTGACCAACTTGAAAACTCTAGTACTCTCAGCAACAACAACACTATACACACGTTGCATCAGAAGCGATTGCAACATAAAACAACAACAACACACACACACGTCGTCATCATTATTTTAGACAAACACATGTACATAAACTTGTTTCAATTTTAGATATAATTAGTTTTAAAAACAAGAAAAAAACACCAGTACTACCAGCAATAGTAGAAAAAACAATACATACAACCACGACTGTAGCTATAACATAAGCAACAACAAGTTAGCAAAACTTTTCACCAAAAAATAAAAGGCAAACAAACAACAACAACTTCATTCATTGCAGTAGGAGTAATAACACTGAAACAACTGTAGCAATAACATAACCATCTACAACAGAAAATCAAGTTTCAACATCGACCTCAACTGTTGATTTTGCTCCTTCTTATAATGAAGCAAATCAAAAATGTCGCATGCCGACCAAACCATAATGTTATGGGGGCATATCCAGTCGTTCGCTAGGCAGTTATATTTTCAACGAATATGGTAATTCTTAAATAAATTGATAATTTTGATTGTTTAACCGCACACCACTTTGTCAATAAATTTGTCAAAGTAGTATGTTCACGCTCAACCGGAGCGTTGGCCTGCGAGTATGCTCTCTTAGTATAGTTATAATTTAATTCAAGTATTTTCAAAACAACTTTCACATCATCTGATCGAAATTTTCACCACATCGATTCATTATGAACTCGTGGATAAATGGATACCGAAGGTAAAATTTCTCGATGCATTATACGAATTTTTTTCATTTTCGTTCGCGAATAGCACAACCATCCACAAAATCGGTTACATTATCTATGGCATCAAAGATATGCATGTATCAATTAGTCTCGAGTGACATAACCAATAAATTGAGATGCACCACTTCGCTTGACTTAACCACATAACGAGGGTTAAGTGACTTTGTATATCGAAGATTCGAGTGCTTCTGACTAGAAACACACGAGTTGCAAAAATTGACAACTATTTTCCTCATCCCATTCCCAAAGTAAAGTTGTTTAATCTTCTTAAAAGTGACGCTCGCAAATTTGTGACCACTTGCAACTTCATAATGTAGCGCATCAATCACGTTAAGTTGTTTCATTAATCAGCATACGACTTTTTTAAAAATGTTATAGTCTGACTTTTTCCGACAATTTTTCGTTCAACCATAATCCCACCTTTTGATAATTTTCATAATATTCTCTTTTACAAAAAACTTTCTTAATTTCAATGTTTTTTTTCTTTCACGATAAATCTTAGACGATCCTCATGGACTAACGAATTTATGAGAAATGACAAGCCTCAACAAACTCTAAAGGCATTATTTATCTGCTTGTATCCTTTTTCGATTGTCATAGACTCGTCTGTAAACCTGATTGAGTCTAACAGAGTCAAACTTATCATTTGTTTGTTAGTTGTCCCCCCCTATGGATCCTTTTCAATAAATGGTTATCCCATTACAAGTTTGTGATGTCATTAATAAGAACTTGGTGTGTTTCACAAAAAAAATTTTCAGGTCGAGACGAAGCATCGACAAAAAAATTAATGAAATTAATACTCAGTTGGTGTTCCTCCTTGTCCAGGAAACCGTTTACGGGGATTAACTTTTCTGCATGATTCTTAGATGGATCCCAATCGATCCGACTAAGTACATTTGTCCATTTTTTAGTGTCGAAAATACGTTTGATCTTAAAATAAAACATTCAAATATATGTCAGTTATCGAGCGATTGTCGGATCTGCATGAATATAATTCCTTAGTGACTGTGCTAAAGTCGTCGGATTCACTCATAAAGTAAATTATCTCCTACACACATAACTTTTAAAAATTCGAAGACAGTGACGTACTGCAATAATTTTCTTATTAGAATGACAATAATTACACTTGACCGTATTAAGAGTCTGACTCTCAAATCTCAGCCGTCGTTCTCGCTCTTCCTTATTTTTTTGGATCGGAACCCTGCCCAGAATCGTGGACCCTGCATCCATCTCAATAATAAAGGGTCGATTCGGGTCATTGTCAAAGCAAGGGACACCGAGGATCAGTCCACCTTATCGAAATTTTGCCTTAATATCCTTCACTGCCGCTTGTTATTTACTTTGTTTTTGCGTACTAACTTTCTCAAGTTCTCCACCCTCGATGAAATTTTACGATACAAATGCGTCAAAACCCCTAAGTCTCAAGGAAGCTTCATACATCCGTGATGGATCTGAAAGGAATCGGTCACTCTAAGATTTTATCAGTTTTTTATCACATAAGAATCCAAAAATAGTTGTCTCATGCATACAGTGTTGTGACTTGGCGCCACTAACAACAAGGTTGTACTCTTTCGACTTATGCAGGACCTTTTTTATATCACAAACGTGTTATTAGACAAAGTTTATAGATTTTATCAGTTTTTTATCACATAAGAATCCCAAAATAGTTGTCTCATGCATACAGTGTTGTGACTTGGCACCGCTAACAGCAAGGTTGTACTCTTTCAACTTATGCAGGACATTTTTTATATCACGAACGTGTTCCTAGACAAATTTTACCACTATTGGTAACACTCCTTGTCTTATCTTTCACACGAGGTCCTGGGATTGTCAAATCGTCGATATATGGTGAAGTCACGTCCGGACAAAGTGGCTGCATGACTCTCATCATATACCTTTGTAAAATAGCGACGACGTTCGTCTAACCTTGAGTTGCAGAACACATATGAATCAATCTCTTAGGTGTATGCATCACCATCACTGGTATGTCCGCAGTATACAAGGAAATTCATCATTGTTTGAGTACAAGTCGATTGAAGTGTTGATAAGTCTGTCTCCGCAGCTTCTAACCGTTGGTTTGCATGCAGAAACCCACCAACGTCACGAACCATCACTTCATCCAATCTCTGTAGGTCCTGAACTCATCAAAGGACATTGTTTGACAAAACAAAACAAGCATGCAGAAACCCACCAACGTCACGAACCATCACTTCATCCAATCTCTGTAGGTCATGAACTCATCTGAGGACATTGTTTGACAAAACAAAACAGAACCAAGGAGATGCGTACGGTTTGTACGAATAATCAGTTACCCTTGTCTGAATCTTGCAGTCCAAATAGTCAACCACCTTATGGTGATCGTTCGGATTTGACAATCGTTGTCTCCTTATATTCCACAGCTGATGCGAAACTGTATAAACCCTTATCATAGGGAATATATAAACGCACAGCCTTCCTCGCTTGTCATTGTCAAAGGCATAAGTTAAAGGTGTATTCTTCATAGAGGTGACGAGGAAGTCGGTTTCTTCATTGGTGAAAAAATTTTCCTCCCCAATGATCATTTTCTTGATTATGTCCTCAGTCAAACGACAAGGTTATTTTTCACCTCTTAACTTCATTGCCTTGATCCCTCTCACTT